CCTCCACTGAAGGCTACTGTGTAAGGCTGTAGCCATTGAGGTATATCTCAGGCTTGGGCAAAAACTTTCAGTATTTGTCTATTTTTGGGGGGAGGGGGGGTTCATGCCACTGTGTGCATGTAGAGGTCACAGAACAACCCGTGGCAGTCGGTCTCACTTTTGACCACGTGGGTCCTGGGGAATCTCAGATCTCAGCAGCAGGCACCTTTCCCTGCTGAGCCTTCATGCCAGCCACATCGGCTCTGAGATGAGGTAGCCCAAGCCACCTTCCAGTTCCTTGGTCTCCTGAGTGGTTAGATGACAGGACAGGCATATACCGCCATGTCTGGCTGCTACTCCTTGCCCCTCCCTCCTCTTCTTTTTGAGACAGGGTCTCCTATAGTCCAGGCTGGCTTCAGACTTGCTATGTCTCCTGTTTCAGACCTAAGATGTAAGGTTCCAGGTGTGTGCCACCTCTCCCAGCCCACCTCAGCTCTTCTTTCTCTCACACTTGTGTGTGTGTGTGTGCACGCACACACACATGTGCTGCGGTGTGCATGCAGAGGCCAGAGGACAGCCTTCAGGAGCTGGTTTTCCACCATGTGGGTCCCAGCAATTGAACTCAGGTTTAACTAAGAACTTGACCTACTGAGCCACCCTCCCAACCCCAGTTCTCCACTGCCCTGGCCCTGACAGGACAGCCCTGGCTGTCCTAGAACTCACTTTGTAGGCCAAGCTGGGCTCGAACTCAGAGATCTCCTTGCTTCTGCCTCCTGAGTGCTGGGATTAAAGGCGTGCGCCACCACTGCCTGGCTTCTTTTCTTATTCATGTTTACTTCTTATTTATGTTTTAAGAAAGGGTCGTGTATGTCAAGACAGGCCCAAGCTGGCCTGCAAATTTCTATCCTCCTGCCTCAGTCTCTTTCTGGTCTAAAATGAAACATTCCATTTTCATTTTCATGGGTTCTCGCTGCCCAGCTCAAACTTGACATTAGCCGCTTACCGAAAACCCCTGGAGCCCCCCCCCCCCCCCGCATATTCCCTTCCCCTGGAAGACAGCCAGGTTCTGAGAGTTCTTGTTACTCCTGCAAATTCCTTAAATCTCTGTTGCATGTGCATACCTGATAGAACATTGACACGGATGTTTTCCTTAAATCTCTGTTGCATGTGCATACCTGATAGAACATCGACACGGGTGTTTCCAAACATGCTAATAATGGAAGCATTCTGTTTTATCCTCCCCGCCCCTTAATTTTTTCATTATTTCTCTAACCTTGGCCTTGCGGGGACCTTGCCTAGCCCTTTCCTTTGCTGCCCACTACACTGGAATCTGTAGCACACCTGAGTTCCCCCTCTTGAACCAACATTCAGCACTACCCAGCTTACAGCCCCCAAGGCTTTGCCTGTCTCCATTATTTCTGGGCCATAGAAGCAACTCTACCCTGACAGATGCCTTTGTGACTGTCCTGCCCACTTGTCCTTCAGAGCAGGTAGTGGCCAACTTGGGGCCAATCCAGGTCCCAGGAAAGCAGGTACCCTGGTAGGACATGGCCAGCTTCCTAGGGGGTGGCCAGCCCCATACCTGTCTGGACCCTCTGCTAGGATAATGGACCTTTCTGAGCAGGCAGGCACAGGGACAGGCTGTCTTTCTAAACTTCTGTTTTTTACACCATTTATTTATTTTACCGGGGGAGGAGGGCTCCAGTGTGCAGAACGGAGGAGTCAGTCTCCTTTCACCATGTGGTTCCGGGGATTGAACTTGGGTCTTCAGGCTTGGCAGCATCTGCCCTTTCCCCAGGAGCCATCTCGCTAGCCCTGTTTTCCTAAACTTTTGCTCCTGAGGCCAGGCGAGGGGACCAGGCCCTGAGGGTGGGACTGCTCTGCAACTCGTGGAAGGGGCCTCTGGGTGTAAACCAATCACTGACCAGTGTGCGAGCAAAGCCAGGCTGCCGACTCCCACTTCAGACAAGGCTGCCTTTGTCTGCCCTGCCCCGAGGTGCTGCAAAAGGCCCTGTTAGAGTATTTCCTCAGGGCGGTTCAGCCTTGCTCTGTTGCAAACCCGGGTTTACCTCATTCAGCCTGGAGAGGAACATCAGCTGGGGGCTCAGAAAGCCACTGTCTAAATCCTGCCTCTGAGGCGCTCTCGTTTCTTTCAGTTTCTCTGCTGAGCATCTCCAAAGAAGCAGTAGACACCAAGCGGCTCCCCTTCCTTCCCCAGGGGACAAATTCGGCCCCCACCTCCTCACATTCTGTAGCCCAGGCTAGCCTAGAACTCAATGGTGGTCACCCTCCCTGCTCAGCCTCCTGAATCCTGAGACACCAGCCACCATGTCTTCTGAGTCACCTGCTAGCTAGTCAGACCGTGCCTCAGTTTCCCTAAGAAATGAGGATATGGTCCTTAGTCTAGAGTTGTGGGGAATCAAACACAGAGCTTCTAGAAGCATGCAGGACATAGTAAATCTCATTAAATGCTAGTTTTTTTGTTTTGTTTTTTTGAGGGTTGGTTTTGAGACAAGGTCTCATGTAGCCCAGACTGACCTAGGATATACGAACTAGAACGACCTTTAACTCCTGATCCTCCTGCCTCTCACGGGCTGGGACTACGAGTACAGGCCACTGGTGCGCATTACTGTTAAAACTCATCCTTCCTTGTGGAGGTCTCTGACTTTGGGTCTCCACATTCTTCCTCTCTCCTTCAGATTTTTTGTGGACTGTTTTTTAAGTCACACGTTGGAAGAATCTGAAAAGTCCCAACAAACAGCAGAAAGAACTCTTTGGCCCCGGGTGAGGCACAGCAACGTCTCCAAGGCGTTGGAAGCTTCCTGGCGCGCAGGCAGCGTCCCCGATAGCGGGTCCGCTTTGTCTGGAGCGCCCTCTGTGGGCTGCGGGCGACAGGCCCGGGACAGGGTGGCGGTTCTGAAAGGGGGAAGCCGGCCCTGGGTGTGCAAGGAGTCCGGTTCTGGAGGGCTTCTCCACCGGGGCAGGAAGGCTAAGACCAAGACAAGCCGCTGGACGCAGCTAACACCCGTCAATAGCGGGAAGACTCGGGCTGGGGAAGCGGCCCGGCAGTTAGGAATGCTGGCGGCTCCTGAAGAGGGCTGGACTTGGGTTCCCAGCACCCACATGGTGACCCATAACCATTTCTAACTCCATTCCCTGGGGATGCGATGTCCTTTTCTAGCCTCTGCAGGCACCAGGCACTTAACACACATTCAGGAAAGTTATTCATAAACACAAAATAACCTCCAACAAAACAGATAACATAGCTGCGTGGTGGTGGCACACGCCTTCAGTCCCAGCGCATGGGAGGCAGAGACAGGCACGTCAGCGAGTTCTGCTACACAGAGAAAGCCTGTCTTGGAAAACCGAGAGAGAGAGAGAGAGAGAGAGAGAGAGAGAGAGAGAGAGAGAGTCAGTCAAAGATTCAGTAAAAAAGGACAGTAGGAAGGAGAGAAGCTAGACGCGTGGAAAACTTCCAGGTGGAAAAGTGACCGAGAGGCAAGGCAGATTGGCATTAAGACTAGTGGTGGCCGCGGTGCCACACGTCTGTGACCTTAGCACTGGGGAGGCAGTCAGGAGGCTCGTCCAAGTCCAGCCTGGTTTCTATACTAAGTGCCAGGACAGCCAGGGCTATATAGGAAAATCCTGACTCAGACACAAAAAAGGTAACGTGAGTTTCTAAGGTCAGTGGTCCTAGAAAGGTCCTACGTTGCAGGCCAGTCTTCATCAGCTCCGGAGGCTGACCTACTTCTCCACACTGACAGACGATTGCCACTGTCTATGGGAGAAAGGGAATGCAAAACCAAACGCCACTAGGATCTTAGTTAAAGCAGAGAAACTGGAGTTAGACTGCTGGGAGAACTGAGTACAAAGCTGGAGGTGGGGGAAGGGTGCCATCTTGTCCCTTTTAGGGTCTGGAGTAAGCAGAGTACCACTGGGAATAACTCTCAGAACAGCGCCTGTTTTTGCAGGGGTAGGGTAATGGAGTTGGTGCTCGGCAGTCAAGATCCCTGGATTCTCCTGGGGCTCTGGGGGCGGGAGAGAGGAAAGGAGAGCAAAGGTCATGTTAAGGTTCGACTGCAGGTGGTGTCGTGAGTATGCGCACACTGCCCCTGCGGTGCCAGGGTCAGGTGACCAGCAGGACGAGTGGCGTGTCTGTCTGTCTCCAAGAGGAGCTGTTCCTCTCTTGATGGCGTGTGTGTGTGTGTGTGTGTGTGTGTGTGTTTGGGGGGGGGGGGGGACGGACAGAGTTCATCTCAGACTGCGTGAGGGAGAGGGGCCAGTGAGCTAGGGCTAGAAGCAAGATGAAGGGTTGGCAGGCGAGGTCGGCGGGCTACCCACCCCTCAGCTGCAGTTTTTGGAGTCTCAGCAACTGCGAAGCAGCGTGTGGCTCGCAGGGTGATTGCATTCGCAGGTCTGGTACTTCTCTCTTCCGTGCCCCTCTGCCTCCTTCCGGCTGAGCAGCTTCCCAAGCCTCGCAGGCTAACACTAGGCAGGCAGAGGACCTGCAGATGAGGCCCTGGTGAGTGGTGTTCAGAGGGGGACATCACCCACGGACAGAACTCACCTTGGGACTAATGGCTGAGCCACTTCTCTCCAGGGTCTCGAGTGGATCAGACTATTCTTTTCCCAGCCCAGAACCACCTGACTAGGTCACTGCAGACACACGTGCACCCCAGGGCTAACAGTAACCGACCTGGGGTGTCATGATGCACGTGCCCACCCAGGTGACATGACAGCTGAGGCATCATGTGTGAGGCAACACACGCTTAGCCACAGTGACAGAGGCCACCATCATGAGTTGTAATACTCTCCCTGACGGAGCAGAGGGCCCTGGCAAAGGGTGCCATCAGCAACCAAACCGCACCAGGGTCTGGCACTCAGAACTCGGGGTTAGGAGAAGCCTGGTTCGTGCAGGGTGCCAGCTGGGAGAGGGACCCAGGATGGCCCGTGCCCTGGACACACTCACAGGCCTGGCTTGCCTGCCCCTCCCTCCCCTCGCCTTGGCGACACACACAGGGCCCGGTAAATAGAGGACTTTAATATTTCTGTGCTGGTCAAACGGAACACGGGTGGGGATACACGGGGAAGGCCGGGGCCCCTTGCCTCTCAGGAGGGCGGCTTGTGTCGGGTGGGAGAGGGGTTGGCGGTGGATGTGGGGTTCTCCTGGGAAATGTCCAAGGAGTCTTTCTCAGGGTAGGGGCTGTCGCAGGGTGCTCTGGGCACCCCTACACCCAGTCCATGGCCTTGGGTTGTGGGTCCCCCATAGGGGGTCTGTGGAGTTTCAACTTTTCCAGCTCCTCTGCTGGAATCCACACTCCCAGCATGATGGGGACTTGGTCCTCTGCGGGGGTCTGAAGAGCCCCCAGAAAGCAGCCCAGGGTTGGGGGCAGGATCCTGCCCTCTCCCTTCTCCTTAGGTGGGGGGAAGAGCAGAAGGGAAGTGGGCAGGACCCCTAGACCCTGGGGGAGGGGAAGGAGAGGGTCTTGCCACCAACAGACACTGTAAACTTTGGTTTTAAACAATAACTTAAGTGGAGGGATGGCTTCCAGCCTGGGGCCAGGGTGCAGAGGGGTGGGCAGGGTGCTCGGGAGGCGACAAAGGAAAAAGCCAACAAAAAGATTTGGTTTTTGCTTCCGGCATAAGAAAGGTCTTTGGTCATCCGTTTAACTGGGGGGGACAGGTGCTGAGGGGGTGAGAGGACCCCAGTGCAGGGAGGGGGGCCCGCAGGCTGGGGCTGAGGATGGTTCCTGCCTGGCTTTCTCCTGAACTGTGATGCTCAGGCCACAGAGGCCACCTGTGCACACAGCCGTGAAGGTGCCCAGCATGGGGGGCCCTCAGTGCTTCCTCAAGTTGGGGTGCCACAGGAGCACCCGGCAAACAGGCTAGGGTGGAGGCCTGTTTTCATCTGGGTCCTGTCTCAGGTGTGTGTGGGGGGAGGGTAGGGCACAACTTGCCCTATGCCAGCAGCTTGAGAGGCTGGGCTGCGGCTGCATTCCCAGTCTGCTTGCCCCATGGAGCAGGGAGCTGGGGCTGGAGAATTACAATCTTCACAGTTGGGAAAGGTCAAGGGGAAGACGAACCAGGAAGGGTCCTCTGGCCAGAAACCTCTGCCACAGCCAGGGCAGGAGATGAAGGTCAGGGATGTCAGGGTGGCTCAGCCCCGCCTGCGGGTCTCCCCTGTGCTGAGGGGCCCTGTAAGGGAGCACTGGTGGGGGAGGAGGGCCCTGTTGCTGCTGGTGGTTGGGATACAGGGAGGGTCTGAGAGGGTCCTGGGCCAAGGGTTCTGTGTCCTCTCAGGGGGCAGGAATGTGCCTGCCCCCAGGCGTCTGTCAGTCAGGTGGCTTAGGGAGCTGCTGGCCCAGGTCTCCCCCGTCCGAGTCCCCGAAGTGCCTTGAGGTTGGAGGGGCTGTAGAGTGGGGTGGGTGGGCTGGGGTCCGGACTGGGCGGCAGGGTCTTGGCCTGCCCTGCCTGCCCACCCAGCCCTTAGGACATGTCCTCGCCTGGCAGGTCCTCCTCCAGGTCCCTGTCTTCCGGAGGCCCCACAGTGCCGGGGTTGGGGGCCCCCAGGGGAGGCCCCGGCCGCCTGTCTTCCTCTGCCTCAGCAGGCTCCTCCTTTACTTGCACCTGGTGGCTGATGGAGAGGGGTGATGTGAGCAGGCGGCTGCCAGGGTTTCCCCTTCCTCCCACAGATTCATTCAGATCCCATCCTCTGAGGTCTGCCCTCCCCCAGGCTCTGGGAGAGGCGGAAGAGGGAGGAGCGACGGGGAAGAAGGAAGAAGGAGGGGTGGGGGAGTGAAGAGAGAACGGTGGGGAGGAATACGAGGGTGGAAGAGATTGCTTGTCCATTGCAGAGATGAGGCAGGACGGAAGAGCCACCTTCCACATCTGGGGGGCTTGTGTGAGCTCACCTGTACTGAGGAGGGGAGAGGCGAGGGGGGCTGCTACTCCCGTTGCTGGGCAGTGGCTCCCCAGGGGCACCCATGTCATCCTGGCTGAGGGGCAGAAGGCTGCTGGCCGAGCCAGGGTTCAGCATGCCAGGACTGCTGAGGAGGGGGAAGCTGCTCTCTGCCAGGGCAGCCTACAGCACACAGGAAGGGGTGATCAGTGGCTGGAGACCTTCCCCTTTGCCAAAGTCCTCGTGCGATGCCACACTTATCTATCTGGGCAGTACTCCCCAACACACCCCGGCCAGAACTTTTGTCCCACCTCCCAGCTCCCCTGAAAACTGTTCTCACCCAGCGATGCCCTCCACTCCAACCTGGGGACAGAGGACCCTAGTGTGATGGGCTAAGGCACAGGACGCCACTGGCTGTGCTATGTCTGCATGTGCTGTGTCCACCCTTTCCAAACCCAGGCCTCAAATCAGAGGGACACACTGGCACAGAGTTGGACAGGGCAGAGGGGTGGAGGGCTGAGGCCACAACGGGGAGTCTTTACCCTCCTCCTTCCCACCTACCCCCAACTGTGGGGGGAGAAGGTAAGGCAAAACCAGGGGCAAGGCAGAGGGGTGGAGGGCTGAGGCCACAACGGGGAGTCTTTACCCTCCTCCTTCCCACCTACCCCCAACTGTGGGGGGAGAAGGTAAGGCAAAACCAGGGGCAAGGCAGAGGGGGGCAGGTGGGCTCAGTCACCTGGTAGCTGGCGTTAAGTGCCCCATAACTGAGGCCAGAGATCATGTTCTTCACCAGGGTGGGGCTCCTAGGGGAGAGAAGGGGAGCTCAACCCACTGGTCTACACATGACCAACTGTCCCCCCACCGCCACGATTCTAGGCCGGAATGAACAGATGTACTCGGCTCCTCCAGTGCTCCCGAAGCTGCAGGGTTAGAGGTCCTTCTCATGCTCCCTGCTCTGCTCACAGGCCTGCGTGGAGCAGGGACCGCCAGTCTTAGTGTCGACTGCCGAGGGCTGGAAGGTAGGATCAGTACTTCCAGAACTCCCTTTTCACAGGGTGTGACCATACCCCCCCCCACAAGTCTCAGTCGAGGGGCACGCCTTTAATCCTGGCACTCAGGAGACAGAGACAGACAGATCTCAGAGTATCAGGCCAGCCTGGTCTACAGAGTGAATGTCAGGAAAGGCAGAGAAAACCCTGTCTAAACAACAAACAAAAATATAAAAAAAAGAAAAGAAAAAGAAACAGGTCTCTTTCATAGCCCAGGCTGGTCACTGAAGTGCAGTAGCTGAGGCTGGCCTTGAACTTCTGATCCTCCAGCTTCTACCTCCTAAGCCTGGGAACAGTGCTATTTTCCGGTGTTTGGCAACAAAGTCTGATCCATAGCTTATACTGTTCCTTACATGACATCCACTTTCTGGAATTCCTGAATTGCACCTGTGCTCGAACCTGTCCCCAGGAACACCATACACCAAAAGGGGCCCTGCTGTCCCAGAGGCTCTGGGGACGCCAAGGCTGGGGTTGTCTGCCTCTTACAGAACCTCTCAGAACTCACACTGCGGGGGAGAAGCAGAGGCACCAGGACCCAGGCTGGCAATGAGATGATACCGCCAAGTGCGGAGGCAGCCGCGGAGACACAGTAGCGCATTTTGCAGCCTTACCCTGCACCTGCTTCCCTGCAGCTGCACAACAGGGCTATGCTTGGGTAGAAGCATTGGGTGCTAAAGGTATCTTCTTAGCCTGGGGCTGGAGAGATGGTTCTGAAGTTAACAGCACTGGCTGTTCTTCCAGAGGTCCTGAGTTCAATTCCCAGCAAACACATGGTGGCTCACAACCATCTATAATGGGATCTGGTGCCCTCTTCTGGCGTACAAGCACACATGCAGACAGAGCACGCATACATAATAAATAAATAAATGAGTCTTAAAAAAAGAAAGAGAAGGATTATCTAAGCCTACTGCAGGCCTCCTCTGGCCGATGTGTGTACGAGATGGTGGGTGCCGATGTGAGATGGTAAGTTTCTGACCTCTGACCTACTGTGTGGTGAAACAGCTCAGACCTCATGAGATACCTGGTCCTGGACCCAGCTCTGCCACCAACCTGCTGTGTGGCTTCCTGCCAGCCCCTTACCCTCTCCATTCAACTCTTCCTCTGTGATATAGGGCAGGGACCAGGGTTCTCCTATGACTGACAGCTGTCACCTCAGCACACATTCCAGCTCTGGCTATGCCATGACTACTATGGGGGTCATCTCCCTGGCACCCTGTCCCCCTTGACCACTCCTTAGTCAGAAGTGAGAACAGAAGCTGTCAGCGCCATCTCCGGACTGTCCACCACGTCCACGCAGCTTGCCAAGCACTGGTCTCCCCCACTCTCGACACCCACATTTTGTCCTCGAGAAGCAGGGGCTGGCCTGACCCAGCTCACCCAGCAGGGGCCCACATACCCCGTCATCTTTGGTGGCCTCCGTTTCTGATACTCTCGCTCATCCACGGTCCACACGGCCCCCTTGACGTTCTCCACGCGGACGAAGCATTTATGAAGGCTGAGGTTGTGGCGCACGGCGTTCTAGGGATGCAGTAAACGGGGCTTACCTCCATTGCAGTCAACACACACAGAAAATCCTCCTATGGTCCCGCAAAGGTCCCACATTTCATGTCCTAGGGAGCAACAACCACCTACCCCAGCCAAGGGCAGCAAGAGGGAGGGCTCTCACTGTACCTGCTACCAGGAGCTCCCCAATTCTGCCTTATCTCAGAAAATGTCTTGGATGGGGTGTGGTGGTACATGGTTTTATTCCTTAACATGGGAGGCAGAGGCCAGCCTGGTCTATATAGGGAGTTCTAGGCCAAGACTACATTAGAAAGAAAAGAAAATGCTGCGGCCAGGGAAATACAATCACCCCTTCTCCTGTTCCCACATCGGCAGCAGTCATTCCTGATTTCTGATTTTTTTTAATGTGCACTGGTGTTTGGCCTGCGTGTATGTCTGTGCAAATATGTTGGATCCCTGGAACAGGAGCTACAGAAGGTTCTGAGCTGCCATGTGGGTGCTGGGAATTGAACCTGGGTCTTCTGGGAGAGCGGCCACTGCTCTTAACTGCTGAGCCATCTCTCTAGTTCCCCTAGCTTCTGATTTTAAGACCTGATTTAAGGACCCTGGTGGCTCAGAGAAGTTGGGACACTGTACCTCAGGCACACAGGAACTCTGGACTTGCGACTAACCTATGGTCCTCACTGCCTTTATTGAAGCCCTAAGGAGTCTGAGGCTTTGCGCTGTGGCTCTGAACAGACAGCTTCCTGGGAGCACAGGCACACAGTGGAGCCCAATAAATGCACATGGAAACCAACTACTAACTTGAAAGGACAGTCTAAAGCCACAGCTGTGAGACAACCTGACAAGGTTACCACCACTTTCTCCTGACGGGAGAACTTCAGAAATTGAGGTCACCTGGTTGGTAGGACACATGGGCGGGGGTTGCTGGGCCTAATTCCTTCTGGAAGCCTAGGTGAGAGCCCTGATCTATCCTTCTCCTGTCCCCAGGTCCCTTGGTCCCACCTCCATAACTCTCCGCTCTCAGTTTTTCTGTCTCTCCCCACCAGCCCCAGCCCTGTCCTCGTTACCTGTCCCCCACCAGCCTCCTCCACGCCTCCCCATTCCTGTCTCCTCTTTACATTTCTAAACGGGGAAGAAAGCGGGCAGGGCGGGCAGTGGGTGCCCCTAGAGATCCCCTCTCCCTCTCTCCCATCCAACTCTTGCCTCTTGCAACTGGCCCGATTTCATTACCAATTTTAATTTGCCTCTAATTAAATCCTGTGTATTTTTCCGACTCGCTTGCTAATCCACGAGGGAGGCGGGCGGCTGGAGTGGAATCTCACGGAGCGATAATTACAAAGGGCCTAATCACGCCGGGGCTCCTGCCTCGGAATAAATTTGCCCGCATTACGGGGCTCCGATCCTCCGCTTTGCAAATGAGAATGACCCCAATTTCCGAGGGTGGCCTCGCCGGGGCTTTTTTCCCTCGTTTCGAAGCCTGATTCGTGATGAGAGACTAATTCGTTACGCTGAAACATTAACGGCAATTTAAGGGGTCTGGTGGAGGCTGCGTAAACAAAAGGATGGGCCCACAACACAGGCCCTAGGAGGGGACGGACATGGGAGGGCTGGTGGAGACCACTGGCTTGGCAGATGGTAGCTCTGTCCCCAAGAAATGGCAGCTGGCCTGGCCTACACCCGCTTCCCAGCCTGGATGCCCTGAGCCTGAAGTAGGAGCATTATCTATGGAAGGGGGCCAGACGGGGTGGGGTTGGGACTAAGAAACCCAAATAAAGTAGAGGAAGATAACCTGGAGGAAGTGCAAAATAGACGGAACAGGAACAGAGGGAAGAAACCACAAGCTACATTTCCCCCAATACCACGAATAAAGTTTGGCTGCTAAAACAAATTCTCAAAGACAATGCAGCTCTCAAGCCAACATAGTCTGACCAGACATGGCAGTATGGCGTCCCTGGGCGGTACAGGTAGCAACAGAGGCACCCTGGGTATCTGGACCAGTGTGTGTGAGGGATGAAATAGACGGAGGCCAACTGACCAGATGAGTTGTTTTAACATGGTCAGTGAGAAACCAAGAAAACCACCTGACCATCTTCCACATAGAAACTAGGCTCTATATTGTATTAAATTTTAGATGATGTGATTGTATCATTTGTAAAGCCTGCCTTCCAACCTGGCCTGGAGGTTGGAGGCGGGGCCGGGTGGCCCCAGAACGTGATGTTGGCTCAAAAAGATAGCAGGGTTGTGGTTGCCAGGAAGTGACATCACTCATAGCCAATCAGAATGGCTGCCCCTGACACATAGTCTCTCTAAGCTTTGGGAAAGGGAAGATGATGTGAAAGGTCTTTCTAGTCGCCTTTTGTACATTACCAAGGTGGAAAAGGCTGGGCAACTGCAGACCGTACACAGGGCTTGGCGGTACACGTGTTGAGAGACCGGCCACACTGAGGGAGAGGGTTCGTTTCGCTGCAGTTTTTTCACTGGCCAGCAGGGGGATCCGAGAGCCAGGATACAATTAAGAGTTCTGAGATAGGGACGCCTTCTCCAGTGTTTAGACTTCACGAAGGGACCAATAGTCCTTCCTCCTTAATTCAGATACCACCTTCCCACCTTGCTGCACAGTGAACGTCACACAAAGTGCGTGCACCCATACCTCGTCTTGACTAAAGAATGGTTTAGGGTCCCTGACCACTTCTGTGTCCCATTTTCCTAGGGTCTTGCATTCCTCTGGTCTCCTAGGAAAACGCTTATGGCTAAAAGTGTTAAATTTCTAACTGGATAGAGACAATTATCTCCCTGCTACTGGTACACTGGGTTGTGTGTGGCTGCCCATGTGTGTCCCGGGAAAGGTCCATGGGCCTCTCAGTCCACCCATGTATCTGGGCCATATACCTGGGACCTCCTCCGGGACTTCATACTAGCCTTTTAGTTATGGAATCTAGACCCATGAAGTACCTAGGGATTCAGTCCAGGACCTGCCACCAAGAATTCACCCTTCTGCCCTTGGAAGTACCTTAGGAGAGGGGGGTGATTTCTTCTTAAAGTGACAGCACAAGACTGGCCAAAGTCATTAAAAGCAAGTCCCTCTGTATGCCTAGCATGCACAGGGCTGGATTCTATGCCCAGCACTGCCTAACAGGGTGCGGTGATGCATACCTGTAATCTCGGCACTCAGGGAGGTGGAGGCAGGAAGATCATTTGAACCCAGGGTTTTAAGACCAGCCTGGGCAATACGGCAAGTCCGACTCACAAAAGGGTCATTATGAATACTGCACACCTCCTGCTAAGAAGTGTGTGTGTGGCTGGGGTGTCTGTGGCCCTGGTGGGATAGTTCTGCAGGACTGTTGAGGGGACAAACTGTTAGGCAGCCTGGGTCTCCATGGGATGTGGGGGTCTAAGAAGTGAGGATGAGGGGAGGGGCAGGCCTCACCTTCCAGGTGGCGGTGTTTCTTCGGAAATAGGCGAACATCCTGGTAAACCAGTTATAGATCTCATTCAGAGTCAGCTGCCTATCTGGAGTTTCCAAAATGGCCTGCAACGAGGAAAGAGCAACGAGACCCTCAGGATTCTCAGAGCCCTGTGCTTTTGCCTCTCTCTGTCACTCAGACATAAGGAGAGGAGACCCATTGCAATAGGTATGGACCAGATGGGTGGATGCAGGACCGGGTGTGAGAGGTGGGTTGGGCGCCCCAGCAAGGCCAGTGAGCTAAGAGGGGCTGAGGATCCTGGGAGCCCAGCTCCAGAGCCTGCACGAGTGGGGTTGGGGGTTAGGGAGAAATAGGGCTCCACATGCCCTATCTGGAAGAAGCGAATAAGCACCATTCTTGAAGTGGCTGGGAATTTGTCCTTATTTGGGCAAAGTGCACCCTGAGAATGGGAGAGAATGCACACCTATAGGAAGTCCCGGAGAACAGACACATGTGTCAGAGTATGTCCATGTGTTTACGAATGTCATGTGAGCATTAAGACATGAGGGTTACGGACAGGAGAGAAGGGACAGACAGGGAGGAGGCTGAGTGTGTGTGCGCAGAAATGAGCATGGCACTGTGGATACAGACAGCAAAAATTAATGGGAATATACTCTGAGCTGCAGGCAAAAGACCAGAGGAGAGGACCTCTTGGAGGCAGGGACTTTATGATCAGGTATCAAATAGCTTGCCTTCCACACCCCTCCTGCCTTCCACACTTACCTGGCGGATTAGGGAGGCGTAGGTGAAGGGGGGCCTGACATCAGCATTCTTGTAGAATTCATGATTCTGGGCCAGCTCTGGGGGAGACAGGCAGAAGGTGAGGCAGCCAGACTGGGGACCTGTCTGGGGGAGGGAACACCCTTCCCTCCACAGCAGCCTCACCTGAGGAGATGGGGGAACAGAATTTGTCGCTGCTTCTCCGGCGAGCAGGGCCCCCGCTATGCAAAGATGCAGAGCCCAGGCCAGGGGGTCGCAGGGGTGTGACAGGGGCAGCCGCTGAAGTTGGGGGGTGCACGAGGCCATCTGGGAATGAGTCTGCAGAGATGGTCACCTTGGAGAAGGAGTGAGGAACTGGGTTCAGTGGTTAGTAATGGGAAGGTGCAGAGAAGAGCACCAGGGAGCTGTCCCCTGAAGGCCAGGGTATGCCGGGGAAGGGCCCAGGGCATGCAGGGAAGTGGGGGCACTCACTGGCTGGCTGAAGGGCTTGGGCTCTGAAGGCCGCATGTGCAGATGGGCCATCATGGCCTGCAACCGCTCACTCTCCTTGGCGAGCTGTGAAAAACACAGGCAAAGAGGGGCAACGTAAGGGGAGGCAACGGGTCCTTATCCCTACATGCCATCTTCACCAGAGTACTCCCCAGAAAGCTCCGACATTCACACACACACACACACACTCTCACATACACATATACACACTCACACACATTCACATGTGCACCTACATTCACATTCACACATACAATTGCACACACATACACACATCAATTACATGCATACTCATTCTTTCACGCACGCGCACACACATGTGCACACATGTGAGAGCACACACACACACACACACACACACACACACACACACAGAGGTACCTGCTCCCTCTGTCTCACTTCTGAAAACTTTATGAAGGAGCCATTCTTTGCCCCTCTGAACCTCCACGTCCTCAGGGTCGGGATGTTGAGACCCTCTCCCGTCTCAGACTTTACCACTCTTACACATGGGCAGACTTCTTCCCATCAGCAATGTACCCTTTCTCCCCAGGGAAGGCAGAACCTGTGGCCAAACACCACCCCACTGCCTGCCTGGTTCACTACTGAAGAGGTATGTGGGAATGGATGAATGATTCACTTCCTCCATTCATAAATCTGACGCATCTTTTACAACTACCCTCTTCACAGGGCGCCCTGTTAGGAGCCAGGTTAAACGGGGATGGCTGACTGACTCCACATAGGAGCCAGGGTATCTGGTTCAAATCCTAATTCCTTCCTTCACTGAGCGGCCACTTGAAAGTTACTATGCTCTGTGGCTGTGCCACTTGGGGATGGAGTTAGTGCAGGCATGGCGGGCTGCTCTGAGGCTCCTTGAGCTACCTAGATGGCTGAGGGAGCATGGCATGAAGCAGGTCTGCACACTAGCCACTCACTCAGCCTTGTATTTACATAACATATAAAGCACATAGCCCCAAACAACTCACTGGCCCTCACCTCACACTATGGTAACTAAGACCCAGAGAATGTAAGATGTTGGCTCTGACCACAGGACCCTCGCAGGACACTGCCTGCCCTGATGGCAAAGCTGTGTGCCCCTCCCCGCACACCCGTGGGTCACACCTGGATCTCCAGCTGTTGGACCACCTGCATCTGCACGCGGCACTGGGCCGTGCTCCGGTCATCCAACGCGTGTTCTGTGTTGAGGTGTCTTAGAGAGGAGGAGAGCAGGGAAGAGAGTGAGCCCTGGGCTGTCTTACTTCACCTCTGCCACCCATCCTCCACCCCGACTCTGTCAGCCAGTCCTCAGCCAGAAAAGCAGACAGAATAAGAGAAACGAAGAAGAGAAAGGGTGGAACAAAGGGGGGGGGTGAGCAATTGAGGAAGCTTTCTCCTCAGCCTTCTTTGATGTCTTAGCTAAAACCGGGCTACAGAGAGATCTAATTGCAAATGAACTAATTAAGTAAACCTCTGACGAAGCGTGAAAACAATTTGTTTGACCCTGATGCAGCAAGGGTCTGGGAGACAGCGGAGTTAATCAGTCAGTGACAGAGCTTGGCACTGTGGTGGCGGCTGGCCGCCTGCTGCCAGCCGCCTGTCTGCCTCCCACCCTGCCTGTCCTCGGCTGGCCATCACTCTCCAGGATGTGGAGAGATAGGCTTCCTCCACTGACACCCCTGTTCTGGGGTGGGAGGGTATTGGGGGGGAGCTGCCAGCAGGAATATGGGGGGCGGGGAAAGCAGAGGAAGAGCTAGGCCACCCTGCAGCTACACTCAGTTGGGACATTAGGACTGCAGGTGACAAGGGGGAAGGGCTGGGAGACACCTACTTGATAAACTGGCCCAGGTCTTCACACAGGGTCTCACAGCCTGGCCACTTGCATTCTCCATGTCCATAAAGGGGGTGGGAACTGGGGGTCTCCTCGTGGGAGGAGCTGGAAAGAGAGGAAAGCAGTAGTGACCAGAGCCCGAAGGCCCCTCCTCAGCAACCCTGGGTCCAGCTTTTGTCCTATGGCTGGAAGGAGGAGGTAAACCCCTGGGTCCCTGAGCTCCAGCCCTCCCTCCCTCTCAGACTCCACCACGGCTCCACTCTTGGGGTTCCAGGCACAACCCAGAGCAGGGCCTAGGCACGTGCTATGCCCTAGGGTCATCCATACCTGTCTCTCCGAGATGTGAGCACAGTGGGCTGTCCATTGGGTAAGGGGTGGTGGGAGAGAGGTGGGGAGACCTTGGGGGGGCTGGCAAACGAGGTAGCAGTGGCAGCTGTGCTGGCCAGGTCCAGCCCCTCCTGCCTGACGCTGTCCTCAGCAGGCTGCCCTGGGGCACCCTCGCCTTTCCACAACTGAGGCAGGTCTGTCGGGCACACCGCTGCTGCAGGAGAGAGAGGCAGGCTGGCTGGGAGCACAACACAGAGCCCAGGCCTCACCCAGGGTTTAGTGAAAGCTGCAGGGGTGGGGGTGGGGGGTGGGGCATTGCTCACCT